AGCATCGACTTACTCGTTTACTCCAGTGCTCCGCAACCGGTGTGCCGCGGCGCACCGGTGTGCCGCGAGATGATACCAGGTGTGCCGCACAGGAATTGTAACTTTTCTCTCTTTTTTACAAATTTTTTTTATCCTTTGTTAATTTTACCTTAGCCTACTACTCTACTAACGTAAAGTTAACATGCTCCTACGTTAGCTTGAGCGACACCAAGTCAAATTTCTGTCACTGTGCATTTGTGACTTAAGAAGGAGTAGGCTTATATGGTAAGCAAGCAGATATATTGTAATGCCTATTGTCGAGGCTAAAACATAGCACGTGTAGTCGTGTAGTATTCAAATATAAATAAAACTAAGTGTGAGTTTGCAGAATCAGTGCTTGCCCAGTGGTCTTTGATTAAAAAAGTCAAGGAGTGCTAAAGTTTAGCAAAATGGATAATTTAAAAAAAAAACATCTGATACTGAGCTTGTACCTAGCACAAGCAACGTTGGGAAAAAAAACTTGTCGCACGTTTCCAATGCAGCTATTGAAATATTGCTCCAGATTTGCACAACTTATATGTGCGAACAAAGTTTTTCCTCTTTATCACTGATCAAAAACGATAAAAGATGTTGACGGCGAACTTCGAGTTGCTCTTTCACGTATTGATCTTAATATATAGCGATTGTGCTCATTAAAACAACCACAAATCTCTGATTGAAATATGAACATAAAACAAAGTTACACTTTGTTTTTTCGTTTGTTGTGGTGTGCCGTCGAATTTGGCAAGTTATATAAGTGTGCCGCAAGTTAAAAAAAGTTGCGGAGCACTGGTTTACTCCCGTAGCATTAGCTGATCAGAAAGATGTCAATGGTGGCGTAAAAACTGAAGGTTTTGTGGCCGCTTGGATACATTTTTCACCGCTTTCTAGGCATGGTGGTACGCATTAGACTAATGTTGTCGCTTTGTGTTGAAAAATGTAATTTCTCAGACTAATCATTGACAAATACCTTTGCTATTGTACACATAATCGACTAATGAATCGTTTTGCTGAAAGTCTTGTGGACCGTGTGGTTTCTCCTAATAACTAATATATTCCAAATTTTCAGTCTTAAATAAAGATAATTGAAGTCGCTGGAGGACTTTTAATATATATTTATTTAAGGGTGCTATGGGGGTGAATATTTCACATCTTTTCAGAAAAGTCGGCACTCAGCGACACTTCTGAAGCCTTGTCATACCGGCCCCGAAGCGCGATAGTGAGTTTTGCTCTTGTATTTTGTCAAAAAATGCATTTGAAATTCTGTTCGCATGGGTAAATATATATATTGTTGAAAGGAGCGTGCCGCGGTAATTCCTAATTTTTTTTGTAATAGTTGGTGAAATAGTTGACTAGCCCTGTGGTAGAAGATGTCAGAGAAAAATTAGATAGCAAGAAGTTTAGCTTACCTATTCGGGACAGCGCCAAACAACGCCCTCATTTCTAGAGGCCATCCTCTTTTCTTCCATAAGGATACCACATTCGTGGCATTTCATGGTCTGAGCCAGAAGGCCATGGACCCTGCAAAATTCAATCGTACGATCCACGCTCTCGAAAATCCCGTTTGCATAAAATTGATGGAGATTAGTTCCAACTAGATTCATTTTGGACAACACACAAGAAGAAAGAAACCACAAGTACGCGCGAAGCGGCAGTCGAAGAATGTAGTCATTGTGACATCACAAAGCTATAACGTTTTTTAGCCTTTCTGAAAACTATGTTTTAGGTTCATGTAAGACGATTTTCTATTATAACATTCCATCTGAACCTTGTGTGTTTCATGGTCAAAAAATAGTAGATTTTGGCAAACATTACTGATAATGTAGAATGACTGACCAGGAGATGATCAGAAACTCGCCGATTAAACGTTCCTGCTTTTCAATGAGCCGTGAGTGGGCGACGTAGAGCAGTGATTTTTTTACACCCCTGCTTATAGGAGGTGAGCACCTCCCTAATTTTCAGTTGTGATCCATACTTTATTAATACTTGGAATAAATAAAAATGTACCACTACTAGTAATCGTCGCTATTATTGGGCAAGCTCTATTTCGTTATTGTGACGTCGCATTGACGTAATGTTTGAATGACGAAGTCAGATAAGGGTCAGGAATGATATATGCAAAAATGTTATGCTAAGCCCACTAGAAGCTATTTAGGTACGAAACTACACCCATAGCGTACACACATGCGTAATCATTACGAGTTCATTATTGTGACGTCGCATTGACGTAATTTTTTGATGACGAAGTCAGATAAGGGTCAGGAATGATATATGCAAAAATGTTATGCTAAGCCCACTAGAAGTTATTTAGGTACGAAACTACACACATGCGTAATCATTACGAGTTCATTATTGTGACGTCGCATTGACGTATTTTTTTGATGGCGAAGTGAGGTGAGGTTCAGGAATAATATATGCAAAAATTGTTACGCTAAGAAAAGTATTGAGTATATGAAAAGTATATGACTGACCAGGAGACGATCAGAAACTCTCCGATTAAACGTTCCTGCTTTTCAATGAGCCGTGAGTGGGCGACGTAGAGCAGTGATTTTTTTACACCCCTGCTTACAGGAGGTGAGCACCTCCCTAATTTTCAGTTGTGATCCATACTTTATTAATACTTAGAATAAATAAAAATGTACCACTACTAGTAATCGTCGCTATTATTGGGCAAGCTCTATTTCGTTGTTGTGAAGTCGCATTGACGTAATTTTCGAATAACGAATGATATACACAAAAATTGTTCCGCTAAGCCGGCTAGAAGTTAATGAGGTATGAAACTACACCCATAGCGTTAAAGCAAATTAATATGTCGGTTTCTGTGTGTGTGGTACTTAGGGTTATCAACCGTCCCGGAATTGACGTCTAGCGTCCCGGGCTGGGCTACAGCTGTCCAGGAATTTAACGACAACCGAGGCGTTCTAAAATAGAAGGCCATTGTAAGCGTGTCGGCTTCGTTCAAAACTGGAAACGGGTGTAATTCACGCAATATATTTTTTAATAAAAACAATTAAATCTGTATGATTCATTCAAATAGGAGTGAGTTGAAATTTGTCGTTATGACATGTTTCGCTAACCGTGACCTCCTGATGACATTATGTTCAAATAATCTGAATAATTGCAAAATGGATGATAACATTATATAAAGCAGTCACCTTAATTTGAGAGGATCAAAAACTTCATTCAGTGAGACTTGTTGAAAAGTTTAGTCGATAAAGTTGCGGCGTGTAACAATATTTTGCGTTTCTTGTTTTTAGTTAATAATGTTAGTGTGAGGCTCTTTTATGAGCAGGATTTCATTAATCAGTCAGTTTTTAGGCTTGCATAGCCGTCTTTTTTAGGACGCCTTGCTGACAGCTCTGTCTTAGCGAGAGTTCACTAATTATTATATTTCCGCAAGGATTACAAATTTTAACATAAACTTTGTGAAAACTAACAAATATCTTCTTAAAGCGGCAAAATCACAATAAAAATTTAAATAGCAGAAAGACTGCTTTCTTGTGTTTTTTGTTAAATAATTAAATTTACTTAGCACAAATTGTACATTTCCCCTGTTTCAGTTTTTTTTTGCATTCACGTGTTAAAGAGTCAACATTTCACGAGTTTCTTTGATTACGATAAAAGTATTTACAGTGTTTGAAATAATGCTGCACGACGCACACTGTTACTTTTGACGTGAGGTGTCCCGGAATGATTTAACACAAAGTTGGCAACCCTAGTGGTACCCAACTTCAACCATTGCGTAAATTATTATGTCCTTCCTGCTTGTCTAAAGCCTTGCTTAAGAGTGGTATCGTATAACGCCCTATTAGATTGTAGCACGATACATGAGCTTATCGCTGGACAAAAAATTGGTCAGAATGGGATATCGTGACGTTCCTTAGCGGTAATGTAGTCACTTGTGATCTTTGTTTATTTTGAGCTCTGCGCAACGATCCCGATACGAAAGATAGGTCGCTGACGTATTGAATTTGTTAACATACTCGCAGGCGCCATTGCGGGTGACCGTCGCTATACTTCGGCAAGCTGTATTTCGTTATTGTGACGTAATTTTTTGATGACATAATCAGGTGGGGGTCAGGAATAATATTTTCGAAAATTGTTACGCCACGCCCACTAGAAGTTATTCAGGTAAGAAAGTACATGAGACCCGGAGACCGGTAGTCTGGCTGAGATTTTCTGATTTCAAATATCGTTAAATTCCACGCATTTGATAAATTACGTCGAAAATTAAAATTCCGAGAACGTTACCATCCGCGAAAGAAAATACACTTTCGAACGAGTCGTCTTATATCTCGATTATCCATAAACTGGGTAAGCTTCAGAATTTTAGTGAACATGTTTTAATCATTAGTCGCAGCATATTCTTTACGCATGAATGCTGACGAGACGCGCAGTGCTCAATGAAGTTTGGCAACCCTGTCGTGTCGTTGTAAGTCGGCAATTTTGCCTCGATAGCTAGAGATATCTTTAGTGCGGACTTCAAGTATCACTAGAGGCCCTGGGATAGTTATTATTTGTTACAGTAAAGTGCGTTTTCAATACCAAGCGAAGTTCTATTACATTGATTCCGATACGAACTGAAAGATTGTGATTCCTGGCGGGTAGTTGCCACAATGCAGCTTAATCCATAATGCTTGGAATTTAAATTTCGAATTGTAGAGGCCTTTTACAGTAAACTCAAACTGTATCCGTAAGACTCTTCAATCGATGGTTCCTTTTCTTATTAAATGATCAAAGAGTCAGTTGTTTTCAAATTTGATTTCGGGAAAATTTGTATAACAGTTCCGCATACTCCTATTTATCTGTACCGTACCGGTATCTTATATGACTTATTTCTCACCTCACTTCTATTTGTGAATAAATTATCTTAGATAGATATTGCACATGAGGAGGCATTATTTGGTATATTTATATATATTGTAGCCAGCTTCTTTTTATTCAATGTTCTGATGAAATACTTTTAGATATCAGTAACTAAAATGAAAAAGAATAAACAAAGTGAGTTGCAAGAATGCGGTATTTGTGGTAAAAGTTTTCGTTGGATAGGACATCTCAGAAACCACCAACTTACGCACACCGGAGAGCAACCACATAAGTGTGAAATTTGTGGCAAGGGATTTACACGGAAAAATGACTTGGGACGCCATTTGCGATTGCACTTTCCGAATGAGACACAAAAGCACCGGAAAATAGTTAAACAAAGTAAGTTGCAGGAATGCGGTATTTGTGGTAAAAGTTTTAGTTGGATTAGTCATCTCAGAAACCACCAAACGAAACACACTGGAAAACGACCACATAAGTGCGAAATTTGTGGCAAAGGATTTACACAAAATAGTTATTTAAGAGCCCACCTGAGATTTCACTTTTTCGATCAGCCACAAAATCAACAAAAATGTGGAGTTTGCGGGAAAGTACTCAGCGATGTGCAGAATAAGACTATTCACATGAAGCAACATACAGGAGAAAGACAATATAAATGTGAAAAATGTGGAAAAGGCATTTCTGATATTGGTAAAAAGAATCTAACGGCAAAGATGTTTGTGTGTGAAATCTGTGGGCGATCATGTGGATGCAAGGCTTACCTTACTCATCATATACTCACACATACAAAGAAGAAAATGTTTGAATGTACTATTTGCGATAAGTTATTCGCACGCAAATATAATTTAAAGATTCATATGAGAAGACATACTAATGAATATCAATTTAAATGTGAAATATGTGGCGTCATCAAGGTGCAACAATGGGAACTGAATATCCATATGCGTACACACACAGGTGAAAACCCGTTTATCTGTGAATTGTGTGGGAAGGCATTTAGTCAGAACAGTTATCGAAATATTCACATGCAAACACATTCAAACGAAAAGCCGTATGCATGTCAGATATGCGGGAAGAGATTTGCCGTAAAAAGATATGTCAAGAGACACATGGGACGGACTCATTCGAAATTCAAAAATATCTCAATTACAGACAAAGTTGGGCAGGAACAAACTGATCACGTATATTCAGAGACCAGCGTTATGTCTTACAAGATCGATCAAAACAAAAAAATATCACCGAATAAAGCACGAACACTTCAAGGAAGAGTTGTACACAGAATTAGATGACGAATAACTTTATAACCTGCCCAGACTGATAGAAACATGCTCTTATCGTTGATTCATATATGCCACATCCCATGTGGCCGATGCGTGCAAAAGTATTTCGGTTTACTCGGGAACAGTAGTTTTTGCTATACAACTGAGGTAATCGTGTGGAAGAGATTTGATGGTTTCCTCCTGGTTAGTGTAGTGATGCAGCCCCCATCCCTATATTTGGAATGTTGAACAGCAAAGTATTACCGAACTCAACTTGTAAATCTTGTAGACTGTAGTGTCTTATTGACTTGGAAATGTAACTAAATTGAAACAATTTTTCAATTGTGTGTGTTAAGCATGTATTTTAGCATCACGATGACCTCACAACATTGTCAATTGAACCAACATTGATTGGGATGTCGGCCGGCCAATATTAAAGCTCTTTTTTATTCACTAGTAATTATTACTCAACAGTGGATATGGTAGTTTAGTTTTTATATTTCGGGTAGACTTGTGAGTTCACATCGGCGTAGATGTTAATCCTTTCCATGCGATTTTTATTTTTTATTAAATAATCGTATTTGCTACGCCGATTTTATGCATTTGTACCCCCACAACTAATCGATCGACTAACGAAAAACTAATGATCCTCTGCTGCCCACTGACGGCTTCTTTAAGCTTATTTAAAGAGCTTGCAATTGGCGATTAAAAAAAAAAAAATTTTTTAAAAGTGGTGGTCTGAGTCACAAACCGGATAGAAAAAAGGCATTTTTTTTCTTGGGAGTTGAAACTTCAAACCGTGAATAAAAATATAAATATTTTCTAAATCCTTTACTGTTACCGCTTCGTGGTTGGCAAACAATAGCATAATATTGCTGTAGCAATTTCGTGATCTAACTCAAAATACTTTGGTAGATGGAAGGGATAATGTGTGTTCTATTATCACCCGAAAAACACCGAAATTTGCATAAGTTTCAAAAACACTCCCTCGTTCCGCCGCAAATAAAATTCCCGTCGTAAACGAAAGCGAGATTTACCCTCGAAGAAGACTTCTTATCAATAAACTAAAACCCGGAAAAACTATGACCAACAGTTTGCGACCGATTGCTAAATAAAACAGTGGAGTACATCAACGTACCCGCCGCAATCTAGCGACTTTTGTCGTTGGTACGTATACGTGCCTACCGCATGGAAAGGGTTAAAAAGACAGCTAATAAAGAGTGAATTCACAACACAAATTAATTTTATTCTGATTTGCATGTTCTGTGTATGATTTGTATCACAGTTTGCAAATTATGGTCCCAATTTTAAGCGAACAATATTATCATAACTGACCCTGGGATGCGATATTTGACTTTTTTTATGCTTTAAATTTTATTTCGTGTCCATGTTACTTTCGTATTAAATAGTAACAAAAAACTCTGCAAATCGGCAATCTCTTGAATACTCGTGGTTGAGTATCCACTTTACCCAGTTTTGGGTTAGAAAACTGATACTAAATACTTGAAAAAATCAACAATAATGGCACTTCTATGTGGTCAAATCTCAAAATAATATTTTTCCCCAATATCTCGAGAGATTTCCATCGAATACATAATTCACCAGTCTTACTTATCTGGTTTCACGTTTCTAAATTTACGAAAAAAGGTGTTGACGTGCTTGATGAAAAATTGGAAATTGAAAAAATATGATATGCGCAGAAAGAAAAACGGAAAAAAATAACACAAGATTTCTCGCATTTATCGTTTCTGTTTGTTAGCGATAGCCGTAGACCATTATCAACCACCACTAATGTATCCCGATACTATTTATGGTATTTGCTTCATCTAAAATCCGATCTATTAACAGTTCATTTATTGGAGATTGGTATTAGTCATTCAAATATCCCAATACTTAGGCTACTTAGCCCAATCAATGAGGCCTCTACAAGGGCAATACAATTTGCGGTCGGTCCATGTTGGCCGATAAACCGGAGAATAGGGAACGTGACACTCCATCCGTCTGATCGATAAAATGAAACAACCCTAAATGTCTGGGGCCGAGCCAATGAAGCGTGTATGTGCGCCGCAATATCGAGGATTTAAGCGCTAAAAGCTGTTTGAAGTAATATACCGCTTAGCGCTGTGCTGCGTAAATTGTCCAATTGCGATTATTGGTGAGCGTTTTCGGAGATAGCAGGATAACGTAACTAACCAACCCCAATAGCAGAAATCAAAATGTATGGTAGTAAGGTATTTTGATTCCAGATCTGTTCACAATAAATAATGTAAATGATGAGTTTAACTGGGATTCCAAATGTTTGTAAATTCCAAGCAATTGTTTTGATGAAACGTTCGAACATAATAAGAGTGATTTATCAATATTTGTTGAACCATTGATTTTTGCGAAAGCGAAGAGATTGATGCGACATGACGGGACTTCAAAGCTTAATGAATTGTAATAGCAAACATAAAACAAACGAGCTATAAGTGTAGCAAGTTAAATAATAGTTGCAAACCTAATAGGTATTTGATTATTCGAAAAAAAATATAGACTCTAGGATTTTGATTTAAACTTACGAAACCTCACGGGGCTGTACTAATATCCGGTTGAAAACCACTGCCCTAAATAAATATCGTCGATAAGTATAAATTTCCAAAATCACGGAATAAATCCATGGTAATAATGAACTAGAATAGCAACTGAAACCAATGTATGTATTGAGCACGATATGGTCTTATGGATCGTATTGCTAATGTAGCTGGTTTTGTTTGAAAAAAAAATCGCGATCGTTCCCACTTACTTTAGCTTCGTTGTCTTGTTTTTAGTGGAATTTTCAGGTCTACTATTAATGTTCATGTGTTTTTCCTATACGACATAACTGAGTTGTACTTACACGACCTGTTTCGGAATGAATAATTGTATCAGTTGCAACAATCGTATTCCATTTTGGACACGTAGTGGACATAACAATCGTTTTGTTGTTATGTTGTTCTTTGACACGTTTTGAAGAAATCTCTTCGAATACTGGACCAATTGCTTTGAAATTTTTAGTGGCTGAATTTTGATGTTTTTATCCAGAAGGATATTACTTTCATTTATTCCTAAATTTTCTATGAATCCTATGAAATACGACTATTCATTCAAAATTTCGCTGTTTTAAAATTTACTCATGGGAAAACTGTTTTGAAACTTGCTAAGTTACCGTACCAAAGTAAAATTGACTTATTCCTTACGCGATCTTACTATTGCAGTAATGTAGGTTTTCTAGCCAAACTAGCCTACCGTATTTGTTAATTTTGATGAGAGCAAATTGAATTGAGTTTAATATGCCAGAAACGAACCGTTCCACAACCGGTACTGGTAAGGCTTTGACCACTTCCCAGAGAACTGGCAGGCCGATCCGCCAGTCAGTTCTCTGGAACCCAGGAACTGTTACAAAACTGACACAGAAAAAATTTCAGAACGATCGGTCAGAGGAAAGTGGTCCCAAAACAGCCTCTTAGTGGCCCGGAACAGGCTACCTGTCAATCAAGTCACGCTAGACTGGCTACGTGGCTAGTGATTTTGGCGTTTAGAGGCCGTTAAATTCCGTCTTAGGGCGGAAAAGCGTTTGCTCGATTATTGGGAATTTTTCAAGTGGCATTGGGGTGTTTCCGTCCCCTCAGAGGTGTGAAAACGTGTGGAAAGCCACGCCCAATTACCTAACCTAAAAGTCGCTTTTCTCTTTCATTACTGGATCAATTGCTCTGAAATTTTCATTGCTCAAAAATAAAATTTTTCTTCAGATGACTATTACTTTCATTTACTTCAAACGTGTCCATATATTTGAGCATAGCTCTCTTGTTATATAGATAAATGTAAGTTTTACTATAGCATTAAATCTACCCCAAGCTATTACTATAGCGTTAAATCTCTGTTACATTTAAAATAAACTGCCTTTGCAAGATTTCGAATATCCCTAATTTAATATAAACTTGTTGCGGGAGTAATTTGAGACTACACATGGGGAGGCGACATATGGCGGTTGAACACACGCTTTAGAAGCAACTAGATTTGTTAAGTTTTGAAGTCAGAAGCTCCGAAAAGCAATGTCAAGATCAAGAGCATTATTGAATAGTTAGTCAACCTCGGTATGATTTGACCGCAATCTAATCCACAAAATAAAGAAGGTTGAAAAAAGCGGCAATCCTCCATTTACCTCAGGCTGTTATTATTCTGACCAGTCATGCATCAACGCCTTCCCCTTGTGGCCGAGTCAAAATCTCACAAAATTCACGAGAATATCGGTTGGAGACCGAAGACTTATCGATCAAAGGTTAGGGGATCCCCCAAAACAACGCTCTCATTCCATAGTGACACTGTTTGTCCTATCACTAATTATACGACATAATTCATCGAAAACCAATAGGCTTCTGATCCGAGCTATGATGAATGCACATGCAAAATTTGGAGCAGATTCAACCTCGCTTTCGTGAGATATCGCGTGCATCTAACAGACAAATACCTATCAACATACTTACCAATTAAAATCGATAAGTAATTACCACAAGAAAAAGTTATGTATATATTATTGAAAGTGTATTCTGAAAAAGAGCATAATAAACGATTATTTTACAAACCTTCGTGTTCACGAAGAGTATAGCGCAATGAAAGACAAACTTCGAGCTTTCCATTCTCGAGGCGTCTGATGTTATGAACAACAAACTTAGTTGCATGCTTGTTCGGTCGTCCTTTTTTCAGTAACGATGTTTACTTTGCAACATACTGTCAATAAATAATAATAATTCAGTGTTCACTATTAGCGCACGCAACTTT